GTTCTATAGTTAATCTTGGCTTCAGGACTTGCTTTGCGCTGACCGATGACTGTAATAAACATGGATGATGATATTTAAAGGGTTGCTTAATAAATACATGTCTAAACAATGTCTGACTACAACAGTTCTCCCCAGAGAGATTCTTCAAACCTCTTTGCTCTCCTGCTAAAAGTTTCTCTCCCTCTCCTGGCACTAACCCGGGTTCTTTCTTGCCCTCTGCAGCAACACTACATGGACAGGCAGATCCCTTGCCTCTTTGTGGCCTCTAAGGCTGACCTGCCGGAAACGTCACCGCAACACGGCCTCTCCCCAGTCGAGTTCTGCTACAAACATCGCTTGCCGCCGCCATTTTACTTCTCCTCCATCGGCCAGGGCCCTCTCAGCGCCACAGTCTACACCAAACTAGCCACGGCTGCCACTTTTCCGTAAGTATCTCTTCCTTCATCCCAAATACCAACACACACATACAAAGAGACCCATCTACACTTAGATCAGCCATGGCAAGCCTTTTGGGCTCGGTGTGTCAAAAATCCAGGAAATGCCTAACTTGACTCTGCTGGCGTGTTGCCCCCACCACCCCCCAAACAAAAGAGGAACCATTCTTTGCATATTCATTTATTTTTAAAAAATACAGTCCAATCCTGTGCGGTGCTATGTATTATGTAAAGAAACATCAAATAATTACAAACATGAAATACGAGTAAAACAAACTCAGTTTCTTTGGTAACTCAAACGGGGAAAGTAGTTGGGTGTTGGTGAACGCTGGCGTGTCACCCAGAACGTCGTGGTGTGTCACCTTTGACATGCGTGTCATAGGTTCGCCATCACTAGCTTAGATGGTCTGTGTACATGCAAAAGAGCTTCGGGCTTTGGCCATGGACACTGTGTGATTCTCCTCCGGGAAGTGCTTTGCGTGACCTTGTTCTTGCAGGAGTTGGAAGAAGCTACGCTTACACACCCTGAAATGGAGCGTCAGCCCATTTTCAGAACAACTCCCCTAAGCAGCAGTAGCACAGTTCTTTTATCCAGACCCATTGAAATGTCACAAAATCAGGAGCTAGCTTTCAGCCTCTCCTTAGCTTAATTCATATCAGGATGTGACTACATCCTTGTCGCTTTGGGGCAGAGAGGAGGAAGGTGGGTACCAAGGATGAGAGAAAGTGGCTTGTCTTCTAGTGAGTTCGCAACCAAAGATTAGGCACCAGGCTAAAAACTGGGGACCCTGAGTTCTAGTCGTGCCTTAGGCACAGCCGGGCGACTTGGCTCCAGTCCTTTCTCTCAGCTCTGGGAAGCAGTAGCCAAAGGCCAACCACTTCCAAAGAAAACTGCAGGGACATCACCCCCATTATCATTATTATCATTAGCCAGTTTGGTGTAGAGCAGTGTTTCTCAATCTTGGCAACTTTAAGATGCGTGGACTTCAGCTCCCAGAATTCCCGTCTAGGGAATTCTGGGAGTTGAAGTCCGTGCATCTTAAAGTTGCCAAAATTGAGAAACACTGGTGTAGAGGTTAAGGTACAGGCTAGAAACCAGGATACTGTGAGTTCTAGTCCTGCCTTAGGCACAAAGCCAGCTGGGTGACATTGGGCCAGTGCCTCTCTCTCTGCCCTAGGAAGGAGGCAATGGCAAACCCCTTCTGAAAAACCCTGCCAAGAAAAGTGCAGGCATTTGTGCAGGCAGTCACCAGGAGTCAGCACTGACTTGAAGGCACACACACCACAAAAAAAGCTAAGCCGTATAACCACTGTGGTGGTCCCGCGCCATGATGCGGGCAAGAAGTAGTTCAAGAAAATTCTATCTGCGGCGCTGGGTGGAGGACACCAGCGGCCGTGTCTGTCCCATTGTTTTAATTATACAAGAGTTCTGTATCATCCCAAAGGTTGCCTTTCCATCATGGTGCATGTTCTTGGACCTAGTCTTGTTCTTGCTCTCGCTCAGCATTTTACGTTTGGCAGGATCAGTGCAGCAGCCGAAGCTGAGTCAATTACTTGAACAAATCCTCAGCTTGCAAGGGAAGCCACTGCATTTCACTGGCTTATGTGAATGTAAAGTTCTCCCCCAGGAATGTGGTGTGGGGAGGGGGGAAGAATCCATTATTTACATTCCACTAAAACTGAAAAAGGGACTGAGAAGAGGGAGTTCTTCTCAGCCCTTGCATTCAGAGCTCGCTCTCCTTCTGTTCCAGTTTTTAATCATTCGAATACATCCTGGAGAGAGGAGGGGAGGGGTCCATGTGATAGAAAGGAATTTATGTTGAAGGGGAAAAGGGGGGTGGGTGATGGATAACAGCCATTCCTTTAGAAGGATCCAATTTTATCTTGGTTCCTTTAATACTCAGCATGTCCTATTGTGGAAACATATCACAGCTTGGGCAATACGTCTGCCAGATGCTGAAGGCATGGCTATCCATAAACATGATACCGAAGCTGAGGACCTCCCCCCACCCCTTTATATTCCTTCTTCCTCTCTTTTCTTCCCCTTCCCCTTCCCCAACCCACTTTTCATTCTTGTGGGTACTGACTCACTGCATTTTGCCTCTGCCTTCCTTTCCATCCTGTTGATTTAGAACATGGCTGCTCCTTTTGGTGGCTACGTTCATTCTTCCCCCTTTGCAGTTAAACATCCACAGAATGCAGTGTCAGTGGCGGAGTGTGAAGCCTGGTCTGGGGTTGGTGTAGACGGCAGTTGGCATCATAAAGCGGGTGCATTTGCCTGCAAGCAAAGCTAGGCTAAGACCCCAGGGCCTTTCTCCGAAAGAGAAGCAGGTAGTTTTCAACTGGCAGCCCCCTGGTGAGAGATGCCAGTTGAAAGTTGGCAGCAAAGTAGAAGTAGGAAGTAGCTGAAACCAGTTTGGGGTAGTGGTGAAGGTGCTGGCTAGAAAGCAGGAGACGGTGAGTTCTAAGCCCACCTTAGGCACGAAGCCGGATGGGTGACTTTGGGCCACTCCTCTCTCTCAGCCGAACCCACCTCACGGGGTTGTTGTTGTGGGGAAATTACGAGGCAGGAGTGTTAGATATGTTTACCACCTTGAGCTGACCGAAATATATATGGGGGGAAAAAAGGCAGGATGAAAATAGAGGAAGGAGGAGGAGAAGAGACTGATATGTCTCCTTGTAGGGCAGGGGGGTGTTTGTGATGTTTTTTGCAGCCAGCAATCACACAGTGTTATTTAAAGAGAAAAAAAACCCAGTGGTGCCAGTGAAGAGGGAGAAGCTTTAGCTGTTTTGGCAGGTTTTAGTGGATCACATTCTGACTTTTTGATGGTTTTTAGGACAACAGGGAGCTCCTGCTGCCCAAAATCTCCAGTGGATCTCCAGATTTCAGTGGCGTGATCTTTGGAAGTTTGGGGGACTGCAAAAAAGAGGCTCAGAGACCAAGAGAGGAAGAAAGTGCTCCTCTCTTTTAATAACCATAGAGAAAGCAAAACAGTGGAATAGATGCCTACGAACATTTGGGGCATCCTGCAGTATGAGGGAAGGTTTTGACCTAGGCAGAACTACTCCTGACCTGTTTGCAAAGCCAGGCTGTGCATTAATTTGACTGGTTTCTCTACTGAAAACCCTTGAACAGATGATGCTTTCATCTGATGAGCTTGAGCAGATCGGAGATTTTTTTCCAAACCCAGTTCTTTTTGATCCAGAATCCCAGGGATCTAGTCCTTTCTGCTTGGCTCAGTGCTTGAGATGGAGAGCGCTGCTCCTCCAGACTCCGAAGAGAGGAAGAGCGTTGCTGGGTCAAATGGCATGTCGTCTAGTCCCGTAGCAGCCAGTGGGACAAAGAAGGCTTCCTTTCCCATTTTACCTAAATAAAATATCCTTACTTAGCGGATACACTGCCTCCAGATACAAATGCTCTACTTAGCTCTCACTTTCCATTTGCATCCAGTGAACCAGTCTTTCTTCTCCTCCCTGCATTTGTCTGTTCTTCTTTTAAGGCCATGTGAGCCAAGGGCCATTACGCGTCATGGAACAACACACTGACCTGAATAGGTTGTAAAGCTTGGAGGTGAATGAACTTCTGGAAGCCATTGGAGACAACGATGTGCAGGAACGCTGCTTTTCCGTTGCTGCAGTGGGTCTTCTTACCAAGGCCAGTGGGGCACATCTTCACCACTAAGTTGGTTGCCCTTAAAGTGGGATAAGATAAGTGCATGGAGGACAGGTCTATCAAGGACTAGGCCTTGAAGTCTTAATGTTACCTCTGGGTTAGAGGCAGATGCCTCCAAACAGTGCTTGTAGGGGACCAGTGGTGGGAGAGGAATAGGTCTCCATCTTCTGCTTCTGTTGTCCCCAGAGACATCTGGTTGGTCACGGTGAAAAACAAAATGCTGGACCAAGATGGAGGCCTTGGCCTGATCCAGCAGAGTTGTTCTAATGTACTGAAAATGGGAAGGCCACTAACTTAGAGGGTGTCACCCCTTCGAGATAGGCCAGGTCAGGAAACAGGCTCTACAAGGACTACTAGAACTTTACTTCATTGGTGCAGGGTATCTTGAAAGCCTACCAGAGTTTCTCTGTCCCTGTCTTATGCTAAGACAAGGTTATCTTGAGTTTCTTTCTCGCACTTTCCACTTTTCCTTGGACTGAGTTGTTTTTCTTCCCTTAATGGCTCATCCATTCTTTTATCAAAGTGGATTCTACATTCCTTTCAAAGGGGGTTGGATAAATTCAGGGAGGATGACAGTTCTCTTGAGGGCTGTCAGTCTTGGAGACTCGGTGTAACCTCTGGGTTGGAGGCAGTTGTCTCCAAATACTAGTTGCAGGGAAGCAGTGGTGGGAAGCGAGGAAATGTCCATCTTCAGCTTGCATTGTTCTTATAGGTTTTCTAGATCGATTCTTATATTTTTATGCTCAAAAATCCCCACAGCACCAGTGTGCCCATGAGATTCATTCAGAGGATCACCCTCAGAGGTTTTCTTGCATGTTCCCTGCTGAAATAAATAGGAGTGGCAAAGCATAGGATGATGCAGGATCAAGATCTTGGCAAGCTCCTTCTTCCTCAGTCATGACCTTTGATGTTAAATGCATGGGATGAAGAATATGTGATCCTCCAGATGCTTTCAAGCCACATCTGCTGCCTTTGTCTTGCAGGCACCTGAACGACATTGAGTTGGGCGCTTCATCCTTCTGGATCCGAATTGCCTTGGGAGCCGCGGTGGCCACCATTGTGGGAGTCACTCTCTACAAAGCTGTGTCAAAGAACAAGTAGAGTAAGGAAAGGACATGGGGATCTCTGTTGGTTTTCCTCCCTGGTCTAGGTTTTTTTTCCCCACCCAAGTCCAGTTAACCAACTTCATTTGCCTCAAGCACATTGCCAGGCCAGAAAGAAGTGTGCAAGGGGAAGACAAAAGGCCAACTGAAGGACAAACTACCCCCTCGGCTTCTCCCGGGGGGGTGGGTGGAGGTTGCAGATGGGAGTGGATGACAAGCATTGCACCAGCATCAGCAGAAATCATCACAGTCAACTAGCTGGCATGGGCAAGACTCGCATTTTTCTCACTCAGGGAATGTCCCCAATCCTGTCAAGCCATAGCATCAGATATCTTCTGGGCCATCCAGCTCCTACGAGTATCTCAGCTTCTCCTGATTTGTTTTTTAACCATCTTTGGCTGTTCTTCAGAAGCTGAAGCTACTGCAATCTGGTAAATGTTTTTAAGGAGACTTGTCTTGGGGAGAGCTGAGACTAAGGGTTGGTCCTTTATGGTTCCATCTGGTTTCTGGGCTGGCCCTTCTGTTCAATCTCCTGCTTGGGAGTCTATCCTTGAGCTCCTGTGGGGGGGGGGGGGGAACGCGGGGTTTGGGTTTTCTCTGAGGCCTTTTTTCAAAAAGGGGGTTCCCCCCAGGTTTTTTTTTTGGGGGTGG